ACGAGACTTAATCATGACTTCAGTCAAGTAACATACCTTTTCATTGTTAACCATGCAACTCTCCTATTTCTGACAACATACTGACATAAAAGGTCATTTTGTAACACTCCACACCATACATACAATCACACACACGCATACACACACAGAGACAGACACACAGACACACAGACAGACAGACAGACAGACACACACACACACACACACACACACACTAATTTAGCATTATGAGATGCTATCCTCATTTAAGCCTTGTGTATATGCAGCCTACAGACACTCACACTATTCTTTACTTAGGTTAAAATTCTATTTGTATTCAACTACAAATGATAACCTAGATAAAGGCATATATAGTGTCTTGAGACTAAAGCAATCTTTTAGTCCAGGTATCTAACTGGAGGCTATGACAGAAGAATAAGAAAAGACAACAAAACCCAAGACCCATTAAAAATTAATTTCTTTCAAGGGAAATAGAAAAAAGAATAAATGAGATCCATTTAGTTCCTCAGGGGTTAAAGAGGAAAGGAGAGAAATCCTCTTAGGAGACATGTGGTGGATAAAATGATACTATCCTGAGCTACAGCTGATGTAGTCCACAAGAGGAATTAAGAGGGAGGCACTGTAGTGCAGATCACTCTAGTCAAACAACATGCAGTTGTTCCAGAGAAACCATTAGCTGCTGAAATTCCTCTATTAAGTCTGCAGAACTCAAAGGCTGCAGATATTTCCAAGCAGAACTGAGTGGTTTATACCGACATATCATCATACGTCACAACTGGACAGCAAATCTGGAAGGACTTACATTTAAAACGATAAACATCGCCTATAATAACTCAGTGGTATAGGGCAGTCTTTGTGGCACTCCTCCTAGAATGACTTTGCACTTCTGCTGAGGGCAATGACACAGTATTTCTTCAAATGTGGTAGGGGCTGCACAGATCTACAATTTCTCAATTTTGATAAGGATATGGGTATCACAGATGGCTGCAATGTGCAAATGACCTTTCTAACCAATCACAATGACCGTGGTGATGATCTAGATTGATGTTTCTGTGGGTGTTCTTATAATAATAATATTGGTCAAATTTTGTCAAAAATAATGCAGGCCAATCTTTAACCATTTTACACTCATTTTTGATTATACTGCAAGGCACAATCACAATATCTAGCAATATAATCATAATACTAGCCTTTCATCCATAACACTCAGCTCTAAAATATGTTGGTTATAGGAAGCCACTTTTCATTGGCTTGGAAATCAGCATTCGGTACGCATTCTGCAATGTTAATGTTTAAATCCCCTCTTACGATAATTTGTGATGCTTTGGTGTGATGGGGTTACATTAGTGTTTACTACATACGCAGTGATGTAAGAATTGTGGGCTGATGCTGATATCTGATGCCATGTACATTTTCAATGCCAATATACAAACATTTATAAAAATGTAGAAATTGGAACTATATCTACCTGAAGTAGCTTTACAGAGAAATCTGACGTTCATTTCTGTAGGGTTGCAAATACAGACAAATTAATAAAATGTAGACATTTCAGCTCAGTAGCCCAGTGCTGCCTACATGTTCTGCTCTTCCTGAGTACAATAAATACATCATCGAACATCGGTTTGAAATATCGGTCCAGTGCCGATATTTTGTTTTTATTCCTGCCAATACTGATGATTCTAATAAAACTGAGCAATCCTAATGTTTCCAAATTGTAGATGGAGAAGTATTATGTCCCCAGCAATCTCTTTATAACTCTGCTTTTGTTTTTGATCCTTTTGTGTCTCTGTCATACGCTTTTACAGGAGAAACTGTTTTACCTCATGTTGATGTATGATTCCTTTCAATATGCAAAGCAAATAAAATATTATTGGGAACGAAACATGCTTCCTTTGCCCAAAATGACTCAGAAGAGCGCTCAACTAGTGTGCTTCTGAAAACAACACAACAGGTTTCAGTTTTCATTTGTAATTCATTTAATTTGTAAGCCCTGTTTGCTTCCAATTTTTTTACGAGCATTATAGAGGCAGGCTGGCAGGCTGTGGTCTATGTAAAAAGCAGGCAGTGCAAATCACAGCTCACAAACAGCTCAGGTAGCTATAGGGTGTATTCATCAATACACTGATGCAAGACTACACATAATGGAAACATGCAAAGCCAGTGGCTGTATTCTACAACCAAATTTACAGCATTTGCATAACTTATTCTACATGTGACTCACTGAAAAAGAGTGTGTTAAAAGTTCAAACAACAAACACACTTCCATGGCTGCTATCCTTTGACAAACAAACATAATCAGAAGGACTGTCATCATCTTTTTCCACAAAAACATAGAAGAAAACATTTTTCAAGGGGGTTCCAGGCCACTGTAGGCCACCTGAGTATCTGACATTGCTCAGTTAGTATATTCCCTTCAATTACCATCTTTTCCCACAATTTACCAACAACTTCAGACAATCACACAAGAAGGCAGAGGCTAAGGAAAATGGATGAAATTTCCACTGTCGTGGGTTATAAGTCGGTATAAGTGATAGATTTGGGTAATAAAAATTAAGACTACTTTTTAGAAAAATGGTATTTGTTTTTGCACCTTAGTGTGTTTTCTCATACCCTGCGCCTCTCATGAAATGTACATGCCAGTTCTGCAAATAGCACAGCACCTACAACCAGATTCAAGAAGACACACCAATTTCGAAAGATGTGATACTAGGATTGAGAAATAATTAAGAATGGTAAAACTGGAAAACGGTGAGTGTGAACACTGGTAGGAAGGCTCCAGTCCAGTCGGACAGAAATATATCCAACACTTTACAATTTACTTCAAAATAGGGCCTGTAACGATTTTAAACATCTTTGCATTACATTAAAATGACAATTTTAGCAAGACCGTCAGTAACAGTATACTGTTACACTTCTTGAAGCTCTACCTCTCTGGAATATTGAACAAAACAGCTTCCAATTACCGCAAGCAAAAATATCAATACAAATTTCACCCAATAAATGTTGCTAGTACACTAATGTGTCTATTTCTGAGCACTGTTCTTTCACAATCTCAGGTGTTCTCTTTCTTTCTACACATTTTTGACAGTGACTCTGGATTCACTTTCTGGATTCTCTATTTGTTCTCAGTAAGCTCTTTGAACAGCTGCATCTTTACCTTATCTCTGCATCCAATATTGACAAACATCAGTGTCAGGAGGCAGACTAAATTGAGTCAATGAAGTCTACACAGACGTAATGCGATTTACATCCAGGAATATTTCACTGAAGACAGCAAGCTGTTTTACAGAGAAAGCAGATTCGCAAGCAACACAGCAGCCCACAACAGAACAGTGACAATTTATTGGGGCTAAAAATGCTGTTAGACCCATCACTGCAGATCACTCCATACCTCCAGGTCAGATTAAAGATTGTAACAGGATACAGATAAAGACCTTCGTTTAGGTCCTGGCGGAGCAAATTAACTTGAATGTGATGCAGCATTATGTGCTGAGATGGGGTGAAAGGCCTGATGAGTTGGCCCAAATGCTGTCAAGCAAGGGAGGTGCTGCTGGTGACTTGGCAATTTGGGGGAATTCATCACTTTCCTTATCAAGGCATGTTTTGAAGTGGTTCCCACAAAGAGCAACCAAAGCCAATATGATGTCACAAAACTAACATGAAACATGGACATGAAATATAGAATCAGACCATCTAGATATGCTTCTTTGTGTGTTTCTGAGAGACCGGATGAATAAACAACTGCTGTCTGCATGAACTTCTCAACATGCACCTGAGTTTAATATCCTGACAGTGACCAAATCCCTCAAACCCAGCGTCAGTGCGTCATGTGCACTTTATCAGTGACCTGTGCACCTGATAAAGAAACTGAACAAAACCACAGAAAACATTTGGTGACCAAAAGCTTTTGCTTTTTATGGACGTCAATCACTAAAATAAGATAAGGCTACATTTATACACTCTTGAAGAAGATGGTTCTCCCAGGGCTCTTTAGTAAAGAGAACGAGTTTTATTTAGAACCATGAGTTCTACACAGAACCATTTCATGCTTAAACGCTTCTTTGAATGGTGAAATGGTTCCTTGGGTCAGCAAGAGTTCTTCTACTGTTACAAGCTCCACATCAAACCAATAGCAGAAACCCTTTTTGGTGCTAAATAGAACCATTTTCAAAAAGGTTCTATACAGAACCATATACAACACATTCTCCATCAAACTGAAGAACCATTTCAACATGCAAAAGAACCATTTAGTCATGAAATGATTCTATATAAAACTCATGGTTCTAAATAGAACCTTTCCCTTTTCTAGAGAACCACCTTTTTAAGACTGCAGCTGTCTATAAATAGATGAAGTCGCTGGCAAAGTAACGCAGTAAGGCGCACTGGAGCTGGCCGGAGCTGGCCACTGCAGTTTCCTCAGCTTTATTCTGTATGTGAGGCACCGCCAAGACATACGTATCTAACACTCTTCATAAAGATTTATAACATAAGTTCATGTAATATATCATTTCGCACGTCAGACACCGACTGCTAACGAAAACAGCCGAGGCTGTAGCTGAGTGTTAATCGTTTAAGGCAGCGAGGCTGGCCTGTCGTCCTCAGGGCTTAGACTGTCATCAGCCTGCATCAGCCGAGGGAGGATAACGCGGGGGCTACAGCTAACGGGCTGCGCAACGCTCGCCATAGGATATTAATGGCAAATTAACCAGCCACATGTACGACCCACACGTCAAAAATGAAACAAAGAGCCACACAAAATTAGTTAACGATAGATGTATGGGCTGAAAATGTTCGCTTTTCCCATTTTTGGCCTGAGCCTGTATCGTTATGGATGACAACATCTCGTTTGCTAACCAAACATTAGTGCGTGACTGAGGAGCGAATACTGAGGCGGCTAACGCGGTAACGTCAGGTACCTTCAATCTCACTGAGGTAAACACTGCGCTATTTACTCGGAAAGCCAAACCACAACGCATATAAGCAGCGAACAGAAGTCTTACCTTCTGAATAGCGACGCCTATAAGCGGAGATTTCAGTCAGACAGCGGTACTGAGGTCTCTGTCGGTGGGTCTGAGTTGACAGGTTCGACCGTTTGTTCTGGATCTGATGGCGCCCCCCGCTAACTGTCTGAGCGCAACAGCATCTGACGTCACCTCACAGGTCACGTGCCAGCAGAGAGACGTCTCATCCAGAGCTCTGTGGAATTTTCTACAAACTCCCAGATTTATCAGCCAACTAACGTTACATCAGCTCCTTCACAGACGCCCCTAGAATCACGCGTCCTCCTCCGTTACACGGTGACCTAAAAACACTCACACACTCGAGTTTCAAGCACAAGTTCTTTATTGCATCATCTTGACATCACAAGGATTTATTAGTTTTCTGTACAGTGCGCAAAGAGAGTACAAAGTGGAAGAAGAGCTGGCTTTCAGTTTTCAAGACAGCATCCATCTCACTGTGAGATCCTACAGCAAGTCCATCATGAAGAGTGACTATATTATCAAAACCCCATGACGTGCCATCACTCAACATACTGGACCTCCTTCTGTTAGAGGTGCAGGCCTCCATTTCTGCATACCGCCACCCCTGTAGGGGTCTTTAATGACCCAACTCCACTAGATTCTATATCTGCTGGCAGTTCTTAAGCAGATTGTCCAGCTCTGTCTTGTTGATGGTCCCATAGGCCTGAGAGTAGCTTCCCAATTTGGCTCGAGGATCTCCGGCAGCAGAGACATTAGAGTTGCTCTGGAAGACCTTTTTGCTAAACCTGGGAGGAGGTTTTGCATCCCGTGTCTGTGAGGGTGAACGCTGATTCTGCAAAGCCACAAAGACAGCAAGAGACAGAAAAGCATGTTAGAAGATTTTTTTACATTTTTTATTACAGTTCATGAGGTTTTTACTTCACATTTTCATTGTCATTTTTCACTTCATTTCAGGTAGTGATGAGGTTACCAATCTCTTTTGCAAGGCTGACCAGTTACAGAATTGTTCAGTGTCTATTTATTTCATTTTCCACACCAACAAATATTTTAAAAAAGATTTAATGTTTAAGTGAGAAATGGTGAAATGGATAATATGAAGTAGGGGGAACTGAGCAAATATCAGAATGAAACTCATCACCTACAATAAAACATAAGGGTCTGTGAGCACTTGCAATGTACTGTACTATCAAATGCGTATTGAAACTTGGATTAAAAAAGCGTCCACTGTAATCACGGGAAAACAATCTATTTCTGTTCATTATTTACCTACTTTATAAAGTACTACTGTAATGTAACTACATAATAACACTATAAGCTTTATGTTTTGTCTACGTTTTCAAATTACTGTAAATTAACTTCACAAGACCTCAAGAATTATCATCGCTGTCCAAAAAAATGTATTTCCATTGTTTCATATTTTTATTTTCTACATCATTTGGACACAGCAGTCGTTCTTTGCACTGTGTGAAAATTCCATGTTAAATGGGCTGATAGAAATTATCCAAAATTGATTAGAAGAATCAAAAATCTTTTTACATTAATTTACATTAAAAGTAAAGAAACTTTCTGTCATCTTCTGTAAAGTTACCATTATGGATATTATTATTACTATTATTATTATTATTATTACTATTATTATTATTATTTTGACAGTGACATTATGTATATGTGCCTTTTCCTTTATCTTATTCAAGACCCCACCAATTTCAATTACACCCATTTTTCAAAAATTTCTCCCATAGTTAAATAATTAAGATTTAAACAAAGTGCTCTGTTCTAGAGACACTTACCGCATCAGATCTGTTCACAGTGGTGGGAATAGGTAGCAGACGCCTGAAGTGGTTAATGCCACTAAAAGCTATTACATGACAGGTTTACATACCTTTACAGTTGCTTAAGACTTTGTTTTCTGATGGGTTTGATATATGCTTTTGATCGAAAACATATTTTTAAAAAAAATCCATTCGCAGCAGAGAGGGCACTATATAATAAAATAGTCCCCAAAGAAAACTTATTTACTTACTTTCAGATTTATCACTATTTTACTATTATCAACATTACATATAAAACATAAATCAGAAGACACATGTAGGTTTGTTAATCGTTTTGGACAGTAATGTAAGTAAAATGGCTATATTTATGTTGTAGACATAGCGACGCCTGGTTCCAATCACCACCACTTTAAATAAATCTGGGTGGGCTCCAGGAGCTGGTAGTGTGTACCATCAAAATCTAAAACATTTTCACTGAGATATGGAACCTCACTGTTTCATCTAATCTAATACATGCATCACATGCACAAAATGCAGTCAAGCTGCAAGGCATGACGATACAGAGATACAGCACTAGTAACAGGTGGCAGCGAGGCCTCCTTCTGATCTGTGACGAACTGGTAGGACGTCTCAATATGTCAGTGCTTTTTTGCCCTCTCTCTTGTGACAGTTTTCCAAAGATCAACATTTACTACAACTCTGGGTAGGCGAAAGGAGGAGTGATGCTGGAAGAGAACTGACAATAGTCCATAGGGATGTAGCTGATGTTATTATGGGTACGATTTTGTGATAAAAAGAGACAACAACTGTGTGCACTAATGCCATTTAAATACAGAGTATTGTAATTTCTGAAATGATTTTATATGTTAGTAAAATGCTCTACATATGCAGTGCAGTTTAATGTGCATTTAAATTATGACTCTGTTTTATCTGCATTCGTCAATCATTAAAATATAATGTAAGGTACTGATTTGTAAAAGAATGAAACACGTGGCCTACTCACCAGGCGAGCAGAGGTGACACACAGACCCGGGGACAGCATGGGCTCCTCCTTGCGGAGCAGAGGGTTGTTCTGGGGCTGTGAGAGGGTGAGGGAGAAAGAGCGGGTGCGTGCCACGGGGGCTGATTGACCACGCTGCTGACTCTGCTCTACACCCTAATAAACAAACAATCATCAATGATCAGACACACAAAGGTCTAGCTCACCAACAGGTAAACGAAGGGTGTGCATCTCTGATCTCACAAAAATTCCATTACAATTATTTAGCACATGATTAAATGCATCAAGAAATCTTAAATCTCACCACTGTTTGGTTTAATTCAATTTGAACAAGTGCTGGGGCTTGTCTCACAAAGCAGGATTTATTGCTTAGCCAGCTAACTTTGAACTTCGATCTAACCCTGGATTTGCTGTCTTACGACAGATCACTTTCTACTGGGATACACTACTATGGCAACTTATACTTCACACCTAACCTGCTCCTGAGCAGGTTAAGTTTGGGATTTCGGAATGTAAACAGCTCCTGGACCATTCAGGGCTTCTGACCTGTCAGGGACTGACAGAGGTGGACCTCTCCAGTCAATGTTTTTTTCCCTTTTTTTATGGAGTCAATCAAGTAAAGAACATCACTTTTTAGCAGAGGAAGCAAATCGCACTACATAGATAATAAGAACATAAAGCAGTTATTACTCCTATAAGCACTAACACTAACAGCACTACTTTTTACTGTTATAAATGTTATAAATTATCTAAATATTTATGTATATTTCTTTTTTCCTTCTTTGGCAGCTCCTCCTCATATTTCACACATTCCTTGGACAGGAACTCTTTCTCTGTTGAACTTGCTTTGTGAGACAGGCCCCTGCAGTGAGGTGCTGGTTGGTGCTGATTGTTTGCAAACTTTCAAACAATGCAGCTGCATTAGATTAATAATTTGGGACAGTCCATTTTGCACACTGACACAGTTTTGCACAGCAATACACCCCTAGCACATACTTTATTGATTATTATTAGAATCATGATGCATCAGTGCCTTTTTTACCAGGCAAAAAGGAACCGGAAGTGTTTATGATACACTTTTTATCATGTCAAAATAACTAAACTCAGTGCAGTCAAAATGCATTGAAGGCTGAGAGATAAACCTTTGGTCAGAAAGGAATTGAGAAGAGTGGCTTCAGGTCTCACCTTGTTAGAGTTCTCTGTAGGCAAGATGCTACCGCTGTCATGGTTTTGAGGTGGATGCACCATCTTTCTGCCAAATCGGTGATGCAGATGTTGAGGGGAAACGGAAGGGGTACTGGACGATTTGACCACACCATCTGGTAACATAAAAGATCAAGTATTTGCACACTGCTTGAGTGCAGAATTTGAGGTTTATAGACTATTAAGTAACCATTCTGTGATTGTTATTAATGTATGTGAGTATATGTGTTTGGGAGCCTGAGTTACAGTACTAGTACTGTGCAAAAGGCAGAGCTACACAGCTACACATCCTTTCAGACCCACAATGTTGAATTATCTTCTCACCATGGAAGAAAGGGAAAAACCTGTGGATTTTTTCAGATCTGATGCAAGAGTGGAGCTTGATTTTGTCCTATTTCTCTTTAAAGCTTTACATGCTGTTTATTGGGCAGTGACAGTTTTTGTGGTATACTAGATCTTGCATGGTTGTTAGGATTCAAATTCTGTGATTATCCTTTAAATAATGATCATCTTTTAATAATTTTTGGAACCCTTTTTACTTTACTTTCCATATCCTTATGCAAGGATGGTTTATTTTATATTTAATCTCCTTGGAAATATCTCCTAAAAAAATGAATAACTTGTACTTAACGGCTGTTCTGACTGGACATTTAATACATAAAAGCTGGTCTCTGACTTTTGCACAGTACCGTATGTAGTACAGAAATGGTTTATTTTAAGCAGGACTCACTGGACACATGTGTGATGGGGTTGTATGATATCTTGGCCATGCTGGGGCTGGTGGCTGGACTGTTTCTCTCAATGACTGTCTGAGCTTGCTCTTGTGTGGGGACAGGCTTGGCAACAATTGGTCGAGTTGCAGGATGGTCTGTTTTGTTATGGACTGATTTCTTTTCACCATCTCCATCCCCTCCCTCTGTGTCTTCCTTCCTACACTCTTTGTCTTGTCCATTGGCCTTATCCAGTTTGTTGTCTCCACTAACTCCACCTGTTTTCTCCTCAGCTTGCTGCTTCACATGAACTCGTCTTTCCATTTGGCGAGTGGCCCGTTTCTCTAGAATCATCTGTTCACAAGACATTTATAAAAAAAAAGGGTTATTGCCTTCTTGTGAAGGTTTGAAAGACCCACTGAAGTAGAACACAGCAGCTACCACTCAGCTTTGATAATGTTCCTATTAAGACTTTTTTGATATCCATTATTTGAGATCAGATGACCCAAAAAATATTTCCCTTTTTAATGTGCATTGGAAAAAAACACAAGCTTACTCCTACTCCATGACAC